AAAAATTAAAGTCCTGATATGCTGAAGTCTGCTCTCAACCTTACACTGCACCCGTAATTCAGCCTCTGGGCTGCAAGTGGTCAGATGTAAACTATATTCTAAACTATATTCTACATTCTAGTACTCCAGCGTGCTAGCAACACTTTGCTTTGTTCTCCATGAGTTTATGCATAACGTAGCAGCACAATTCCAGTGCCATTTCGTTTCACTTTGGCGAGCTTGTGCAGTGAACTTTATATCTGGAAAATCTACTTCAACCCTTGCAGGTTGTTTGCTCCAGTGAGCCGAGCAAAGCACAACGCGTTTCCACTTCACTCCCTCTTTCTTTTTACAGCCAATAACATCAATGTATCGATCAATTACTTCCTTTGAAGCCCGTTGCACTTTCGTCATACGGTGATACGATATCTCTTGAGTTCTCCAATTGCTTTTACAATACTTTGAGGCACAACTCGAGTGCCACTTCGTGGCGGAAGCCATGTTTGTTTTGAATTTGTCCGCGAAAGTCCGTACTAGACCCAGTACCTCACGTTATGAAATTAGGCAATGGCTAGTTTCACAAACGTTACAAAAGGACCTCCTGGAAATTACTCCTCAGTCTACCTGTGTACAGCAACAATACAAACAAAAGTGAATCGGAAATGCTGAACGCCACCCAATCAGATGGATTTCTCTAAAGTTCTGCCCATAGAAAAAGTTAATCGAAAAATGATTGAGGTCTCTTTTTAATTAATGGTTTTAACAGGTTTCACCTTTGCTTCAACAGGTTTCACCTTTGGTATTGGGACAACATTGGCCATCTTCCATGCTGGCGGGAGTCTGTTCTCTGCAGTTTTGCCGAGAACAGACTCCCGCCACCATGGAAGATGGCCAATGTTGTTCCAATACCAAAGGTGAAACCTGCGGAGGATATCAGTAAACATCTTCGCCCTATCTCCCTGATTCCGGCGCCGTCTAAAATTGCGGAAGATTTCGTGGTTGGTCTTCATATTGGCCCTGTTGTGATGGAGGTTATTGACCCCGACCAGTTAGGGAGGAATTCCAAACTCGTCCACCCTTCATGCCCTAATATCCATGGTGCACAACTGGTCCAATGCCACTGACGGTAGTGGAGCTGCCGTGCGAGTCGTCCTTTATAAACAGTAGAGTTTTTCTGTCGAGGAACTATCGGCTGTTAGTTGCCCCGCGGAAATTTGATGTTCCTAAAACAAAGATGCTAGTTTTAAGAATATCAAATTTCCAAGGGGCAACTATCACACCGATAGTTCCGCGACATAAACACTGTATTGTTTTTATTGTTCATCACTAAATTTTCTTCCGCGCCTACAGCTTGTCACAAATGTCAATAATTCGCAACCGTACATTGGCTAAATAATACGTTATACCTGTCAGAATTGAAAAGTCACTTTTTTCCGATCTGTCTAACTTCGCGTAAATACGCGCTGCATAAATTGGTAAATTATTATCATTATTATTAATAAATAATATAACAGTGCATTCCTTTGAAAGTTAACCTTTCTCAAGAGAGGAAAATATATTTCTTTTGAGAGTTAAAACTTTTCCTTATTATGAATATTTCTATAAGTCATAAGTTGAGTCAACATTGGAAGCACAAAGTAATTATAATTATAATTACACAAACATTGAACAGATGTTCATTAGACTTTTTTAAGTCCGAATTGTTGTGTTCTCATCCAACGGTCACGTTCATATCTCCAACTAATAGATTAAAAAAGTTGGGATATGTTCTGAATGTTTATGATACGGCAAAAAGCTCGAATTTTCGTATCAGGGGAAAGTAACATGAACCTCAAGTCTTCAATTCATATATGGCTGGAACCGGTTCTCGTATTAACTAGGGTTGAGTCAGCGAGATTCTTCCCAATTTCAAACTTTTCACTCAAATATCTTCCTTAAATTATCTTTCTTAAATTATTCATGTGTAACTTTCTATTTAGTCTGTAACCATGGCTGCAGTACGTAAATAGCGCAATCCTTTCTAAAGGTTTCTCCTGTATCATGAGGAGAAAAATTACTTATTTCTTCTTAAAAGGTAAAATCCTCTTACTCATGAATGGTTATCTGCAAGAGTCCAGCTGCCGATGGAAGCTAAGAAAGGGCCAATTGTCTTATTCCAATGGTGTTAATGGTCATTCACAAGAAACACGTTTGATGATGAAATTATTTTGCTTCCATGATTTCACCGCTTTTTCGGTAATTTTTGCAAACGTTTGACAGCTAATTAGAAATAAAAATTGAGGGCTCAGATGTCCATTATCCTAGTCTACGATCCAGGACAACCTCTTCATCATTTTCTATATTTTTCCCATCACCACCTCATAAATTAATCATATTAGGGACCTTTAAGCAGTCAGGACGGAAAAACTGAAGAACACTTTGATAAGAAAATGAATTAGATATTTGTTTTAAGTTAAAATTTCGCGAATGGATGGATGTGTTTGCTGCCCACTTACGGCGCCATATCTCAACTTCAGTATAACGGATGTTAAGTTCCAAATAAATAAATAATTTGCCGTCGTAGTTTCTGCTCTAAAAACATGCAAATTTTGCTGATTCCAAGTTGTTGTTTTGCAAGTTTTGATA